AATGTTAGATCAAACTTTGTGTTTCTGTAAAAGAAAACAGTATATTTGTTGGAAGCCACATTATTTTAGATGGAATACTGGAGTCTATTACACAGCAAGCAGTCTGCAAGCAGCCTGTTGTAACAAAGACTTGCAGTCCACAAATACACTTAGACAGCTTGGAAACAGGACAGAAAGGAGGGGGGGGGAATAAAAACAACACCAAGAAACTAATCAGCACCAAGAGAGTGCTGAATTGGGACACTAAGATGACCAGAGTCAAGCCAGGAGACGGCACACAGGACATGATTAAAGAGACATGTGGCATGGCATCTGGTGCCACTGCTGGGCCAGCCTAAATAGGGCCTAAGCAGGAGGCAGGTCTACAGGAAATTCCCAGTCCCAGGCACTGGACTATCAGTTTGAGTAACGTATCAGCCAAATGCCCATGCCTGCTTGCAGGGATCCAGCCCCACCCATCAGTTGGGAGGCAAGTGATGGATGGGTCATTTCCTTCCCCTGCATGAAAACAAGATGCCAGACCCCACCATCTACCATGTGGCCAATAGTGCACCAGCCACACCTGACCTCCTTACTTAATATTACTGAATTAGTAAATCAATTTATAAAATGTTACATCCTCTTTATCATTTTGTAAACATTCAAAAATTTTCTTTTTTTATAAGCTATATTTCGTGAGCTCCACCTCTGAAACAATAATTCTCACATTCACCAATAATTAAACATTCTTCTTTTGAATAGTTTATTTCTTCCTTCTTCCTCATTCCTTCCCTTCCTCTTTCCTTCTCTCACTTCCCTACTCCTTCCTTCCTTCCTCTCAGGGTCTAGAAGAGATGCTGTAGCTCAAGTGGCAGATGGTTTTATTTCTTTGTTAACTTCAATTTTTGTGAGAGATTGATCAATATCTTTGTGTGCTTGATTATTTCCCCTAATGTCATATTTACTTTGGCCTTCTATGAGATAACATGGGTGTTTTATTATAGATAACTGGTGTTTTATTATAGCTCACTCAGCAGAACAACTAAATGTGCTAAGAGTGAATCAATCACAAGTTTTTCATCACCAGTGATTAATTAAAGAAAAGTGCAAGCACTGAAGACACTTTGGGGTTCTCCCCCAAGACAAAATGCAGAGATTCTAGTCTATTAATCCATCATATTTTTTAAATATATATTTTATTGTAAAGATACAGTATAGATTGGTTATACCATTATATGAGTTAGGTCATGAATACATTTTCAATTGAGCATTGTTACCCCTCCAAGAAAGACTTTACTACTGTTATGACTTTTTCTAGAAAACCTTTCCATTTTTTCTACATACGATTTTTCTCCTCTTTGTGTGTGAGGGTGTGTGTGTGTGTCTGTGTGTTTTATGTGTTCTATGATGAACCCTGAGCTGTGTCTTGTAGTTGGAGGACTCCACATCTGCTATATCATAAGGTCTCTATCCTGTATTGGTTCTGTATTGCAATTTCAATTTTCTTACAGATCAAAGACTTTCCCCATTTGGTACAATCCTAAGTTATTTCATTTATGTGAAGCAACTTATGTCTGTTAAGCTGTGACCTCCAGGTCTTTCCACACTGGGTGCATTCATAAGGTTTCTCTCCGTGTGTTCTTTGATGGATGTTAAGGTGTGCCTTCCAGGTGAAAGAATTTCCATGCCTGCTACATACATAACATTTCTCTCAGGTGGGTTTTTTTTCTGATGGACAGAAAGGTGTATGTTCTGGATGAAAGACTTTCCACATAGGTTACAATCATAAAATTTCTCTCCTGTGTGTGCTCTCTGGTGGATAGAAAGTTGTAGCTTTTGGCTGAAAATCTTTCCCAAATATGACATTCATAAGGTTTCTTTCCTGTGTGCATTATCTGATGGACATTGACGCTTGACTTCCAAGAGAAGGACTTTCCACACATGTTACATTCGTAAGGTCTCTCTAATGTGTGTGTTTTCTGGTTCACAGTAAGGTTTCTTTTATGGGTGAAAGACTTTCTACACAAGTTACATTCATAAGGTTTCTCTCTAGTGTGTGTTCTCTGGTGGACATTAAGATTTGATTTCTTGATGAAAGATTTTCCACACATCTTACATTCATAAGGTTTCTCTCCTGTGTGTGTTCTCTGGTGGCTAGTAAGATATGCCTTGCAGGAGAAAGACTTTTCACAAATGTTACATTCAAAAGGTTTCTCTTTTGTGTGTCTCCTCTGGTGGCAAGTAAGCTTTGATTTCTCGGTGAAAGACTTTCAACACACGTTATATTCATAAGATGTCTCTCTAGTATGTGTTCTCTGGTGGCGAGTAAGGTTTGATTTCTTGGTGAAAGACTTTCCACAGTTGTTACATTCATAAGGTTTCTCTCCTGTGTGTGTTCTCTGGTGGAGAGTAAGATATGCCGTCCAGGAGAAAGACTTTCCACAAATGTTACATTCAAAAGGTTTTTCTTTTGTGTGTGTTCTCTGGTGGCGAGTAAGGTGTGTCTTCCAGGGGAAAGACTTTCCACAGTTGTTACATTCATAAGGTTTCTCTCCTGTGTGTGTTCTCTGGTGTCTAGTAGCATATGCCTTCCAGGAGAAAGATTTTCCACAAATGTTACATTCAAAAGGTTTCTCTTTTGTGTGTGTTCTCTGGTGAACAGTAAGCTTTGATTTATGGATGAAAGACTTTCCACAAAGGTTACATTCATAAGATTTCTCTCTAGTATGTGTTCTCTGATGGAGAGTAAGCTTTGATTTATGGGTGAAAGACTTTTGACACATGTTACATTCATAAAGTTTCTCTCCTGTGTGTGTTCTCTGAGGGACAACAGGGTGTTTCTTCCCAGTGAAAGACTTTTCACACTGTTTACATTTGTCAACTACAGAAGACACATGAGTACTATATGCAGCACACATCTTACCGGGTTCACTGAAAACACCCATGCTCTGACAGCCAGTGACCTTTTCTATCCTTATCCCTAAGGAGTTCACATTATTCTTAATCAGTTCTGAGTTCTGTATGGAGCTCAAATGAAAACTTCTTATAAGTCTCACTTTTTCCTCCCCTTGCTTACTATTCAGGATTGCTACTTCAGAGAGATACTTCTTGTGACTTTCCTGGCAGGTGCTAATCACATCCTCCATTTCTGGGGCATCTAAAATGAATAATAGAAAAATAGACAAAAACATAAATAAGACCCACAAATTCCTTACTATAATGATATTTTCTCAAATTCTGTTACTAGATTTTCAAATATCAAAGCATTGCTTTATACAGAATATATACTTTTCTCTGCAATGTAGTAATTAAGAAAGTAGTACTGACATTTTACAATGGAAAATAATGTTTTTCTGTATTTCAGATTTTTATATTTTTCTCAAGGAAATATTTACTCAAATTATTCATCTCCATACTCTTAATGTTTCCATTCTGAATCTCCCTCTATGCCCAGCACCACAGATAAGAAATTGTCCTGATCCTATTTTCCTCCTACCTGCAAAATACTAGTTTAAAATAAAATGAGATCTCCTTACTACATTTCTTATTGTCTTCTTAGCTTTATGAATAACTTCTCTACAGATAAAGAGAATTGCTAACATTAACTACGTGGAACATCAAATTCAGTTTGTCTCCACGAGAATTCTGGATTGACAATTCCTTGAGACAAAAGATCACCTATTTCTTTTCCATACATGACTCAGGGCACTAGGAATCCTATTGCTCTGTACAGCTCAAATAAACAGACCCACTGGGCTCTGGACCCAACATCACTATTCAAGATGCTTTAACTCACCTGTGAAATTCTCTTCTGAGCCTTCTCTTGTCCATGGTTCTGCACCTTGCTCCAGCTTCACAATCAATATAGGTTTAGGAACACAGTGCCCTGTGAATAAGAAATAGTGGAGAACTATTGCTCTTGCAGGGTCATCATTAATGTAATGTTGCAGACATCCTTTTCACTGGGTTGCTCCTAAATCTGGTTTCTCAATTGTTTTATTTTTGGGGAGTGTGATCAGTTGTGGGGCCTGAACTCTGAGCCTGGGAGCTGTATCACACCTCCTAAGCTCAAGGCTAGCACTCTACCACTTGAGCCACAACGCCAAATTCTGTCTTTTTTTCTGCTTTATTGGTGCTGAGGAATCAAACACAGGGCCACAAGCATGCAAGGCACGGGCTCTACCACTGAGCCACCTTCCCAGCCCATGGTTTCTCAATTCTTAACAGCTCCATGGTGTACTTTCCCCCAGCTTTGGGTTTATTTTGCCCATGTGTGGCTTGAACTCAGCACTTTTGCTCAAATCTAGCATTCTACTAGTTTGTGTCTTGGCTACATTTCTAGTTTTTGAATGGTTAATTGGAGATAAGAGTCTCATGTTCACTTTTCTACAGTTGCTGGCTTCAAACCAAAATCTTCAGATTTCAGCCTATAGAGTATCTAGGATTCCAAGCTTGAAGCAATGAAACCTATGTCAGATTTGGCTTACAAATACACACTTTCACACTTTCAACCACTGACTTCCAGATAATACTGACAGTAGTAATGTATATTCTATCTAGTCTGTAGATCCACATATAATAATCACCCCAAGTCTGGGAAGTCAGTTTCCTGTTAGTGGATCATAGTTTAGAACTTTTGTCCAACTACTAATTTGCCTTCTTAACGAATGAGAATAAAATTAGCTCTTGAGTTACATATAATGAAGTTGAAGTTTCCCTTAGAAAGAAATGACACTTCTCATGGACTGGAATCTTTTTTTTTTTAACAAAATGTAATGGTCCAAAGGCTTACACTTGTAACCCTACATTTAGGAGGTAAGATTAGAAGAGGCAGGCTTAAAACCATCCTGGGCATGGAAATTAAGACTATATCCCAAAACAAAATCCAAAATGGAGTTGTGTCTCAAGCAGTAGTGTGAAAGGCAAACAATATCAAGCTCCCCAACCTGAATTTGGCTGGCTTTTATACTAGCAGTTTTTCACCTGGAAATGGACTGGAATCTTATACCTAAATACCATAGTCAAATGTCTACTAAAATAAAAACACTTGATCTTACAAATAAAAGTGACCTTTGCTCACCCAAGTACATTAGGTTGCTATAAGTCTCCAGCATCACTTCTCTATGAAGGGCCCTCTGACCAGGATCGAGATCCTGCCACTCCTTCCAGGTGAAGTCCACAGCCACATCATCAAATGACATCAGCTTCTGTAATGGCACATTTCCATCAAGAAATTAGATCTGGGTCATGAGAATTCCAACCTGGAATTTCATTATGCTGCAGGTATGCTTTTGTCTTACATTAAATGTTTGCAGCTGGCTATGTTATTTTTTCACAGGAAAAATTAAATAGCAAATTAGAAATATTTGACAATACATAAACGTGGCCATTAAAATACACAGATTTGCAGGGCATTGGTGGCTTATGCCTGTAATCCTAGCTATTGAGGAGGCTGAGGTCTGAGGATCAAGTTTCATGGCCAGCCCAGGCAGGAAAGTCCATGAGACACTTATCTCCAGTAAACCACCAGAAAACTGAAAGTAGCACTGTGACTCAAGTGGTAGAGCACTCACCTGGACCTGAAGAGTTGAGGGACAATAACCAGGCTGAGAATTCAAGCCCCAAGACCAATAAAAATTACAGATTCCCTAATGTATGCAAACACATTTCTGCTTCTAGCAATAGAGACAAGATAAAAATTCTAAGGAGACAATAATCTGGCATGATGACATTAAGTCTAAGGTGCTGTCTAAAAAATTATATTATTAGTTTTTATAAAATTTTAGTACATATAAGCGTAACAATGAATTAAACAAATATTTTCTCTTCATTTACATTTACTGCTTCACTGTAAACCCTATTTAGACCTTCTATTAACAAGTACTCTCATAAGCAAGCAGAACACATTCAGGATATCACATGGTATACAGAACATAGAACATTACTAGATCAAAGAAAAGCAGTGTCCACATGAATATTATAAAACAGTAACAGTACTCCAGAAAGTAGCTAATGATTTATTGGGCCCTTATAAGATTTGATTTAGTTCCCACATAAAAATATCCTAGGTTATCCATGCTTGGTTTAAATACTAAATATTGAAATGTGGTCTTAGATACCCTGATATTTCCTTCCTATGTAAAAAAGAACTGCTACCATGAAGTTTTGTAAACTTTCTCTACATTCTACAATACAAAATATAGGTGGGAGGGGAATAAAATGTTCCTTGAGAAGATTTTCATTTTAATAGGACTTCATGGAAGGTGAAGGCAAATTGATAGAGACTAAAGGAACACTCAAGATGACAAAAATGATAAATATGACCAAATGGTCAAATGTGTTAAATATTCCTGAGTCATTTCTCCAGTAGATCCCTAAAGATATATTTCCACTTTTGTTAGTTAATAGTAAAATTTCTCAGAGATCAAAATCAATTCCTGAGCAAACATCTGTGAGATTTTGCAACAAATGATACTTCTAATAGAGAAAATCTCATCACTGTATTTTTTTTTTTATCAAAACTACCTATCTTATACTGGCAGTGAATGAAAATATTTAAAAGTAGTGGTATGGAAAAAGAAAACTGAGTACCACGACAAATGAAGTTAGAGCAAAGAAAACAGAATCAGGTGAAATCAAATTTTCTTGTAGTTTATCAATTGGAGGAAGGACGTCCTTTTCTGTATGGAACTCTGAAGTTGAGCTGAAGGGGGAAAAGGTTTGAAAGGTTGGGATTCCAGCCTGACAGCATTGAGAGCACTGAGAGCTGGCTGCAGAAGGCGTAAAAGAGAATTCTGGAGATGGTTAAGAGACTGGAGGGCAGGCCTTTTCCTTACTGTTGGAAAGATAGCATCTGAAACTGAGCTGCTGTTCACCTTGAAGGCTAGGTAAGGTGAACTTCATGTCTGCATTTTCTCTGGGCACCAGTCTTCTGTCTCAGGAGAATAAGGAAACATGTTTTCCTCACAACCTGTTGTGGCTCAGATTGTAATATTAATATAGATACTTCAATTTTGCATGTTATCAATGGTAATCTTCCCTGTGTGAACTCAAGGAACTATGCTTGCTTGCTGGTAACCAGAGACCAAGTGCCAGAGAGCCTTTAGAACCCTGATTTCCCCTAAGTCTATCTGTTTATGTTTTTGTGTTTCTCTAATTTTCTTTGTTTCTGGAATCCTGTAGAACTCTCTAGGCAACAATTTTCCTATACAGTGGGTAAGAAAAATGTCAATCTTAAGAGCAATGTCAGCAACATAAAGCTGATCACTAAGAAAAACTAGTTCCCAGATAGATCATTGAAGAAAAAAAAAACTGAGAGACATATGGAGGAAAGAGAGAATGAGAAAAGTAAGAAAAAATGATTCAAAGATAGACACAAAGAGAGAGAAAGAGAAAAATAACCAACACAAGTGAGTAGAGAGAGATTATAGAGGAAAGAAATCTTGTGAGGATACTTTAGAAAACAAACAAGATTTTGAAAAAAGACCATAAAGTTTAGCAACACATATAGCCTCAGCTTCAAGTAAGACCAAGACCATGAAGTAGTCCAAGAAGTATATATGGAGAGTAATTTAAGCACATATAGGTTAATCATTCCTTAAGAACACACGAAGGTGCGTATGACCACACTATTTCAGCAATTCCAGGAAAATTTCATTGAGATAGTTTAATGTTACTCATGAGAATGAGATCTGGTTGCAATCTACCCTTCACCTTCCACGAGATGTAACCTGCTCCGGGGCACTACATCACGTAACAGGTATGACTACATGTTATGACAAGATGAAACCTAGACATTCTGAAGCCAATCTGAATTCAATTTAGAAAGAATATAACCATTTAATTTGCTAAACCTACAAGTAATCTTTATCTCCTAATCTACAAGCCATCTTTTTCTGACTTATGAATACATTCCTGAGGCTGAATCTGTGTCGTTGGCATTGTTTGTAATTCTTGGAAATCTTTAGGTTCATATAATGGAATGGAAAACAAATGAGAAATAAAAAAAACTCACCAGAGATCCATTCATTCTGTCTTGCTGCTGACAATGAACAGAAGACTCTAGAAGCACGGCTGGGATATAAAGCAAATGACATATTCAGAAATAAATCTGTGAGATTTGGGGTCCAGAATTTTCTCTTGCAAACATGATACATGGGCTGCAAAACCATAAAGTTGTCCTAGAAGAATCTTTAATATCTCAGGCTGAGCATTAAAGTTTCCAAGAAACACAAATGCAGTCCATTTCCTGACAGATAGATATTATTAAACAAACTAATTTCTATGTTTATGTACACATTAAGTTCGAAAAAATGAATGTTCCCACAAATATTATTGAATACTTGAAAGCAAAAACATATCACATTTCCACTAAAAGTATTTATTACGGAATATACTTCGGCATGTAGGAACTGCTTTTTTTTAATACAACGGTATCCTAGGCATCCATTGGAATTTGTGTTCTACCTCATTCATTTACATATTTTAACACCAGGGAAAGCATGTATGATGTAGTTTTCACACAATTTAGAGAAAAAATGTCTACAGAAGATATTTATTGTGTTATAATTTTTCAACAATGGTTGTCAAATGGCACATTTCACTGTACCCATTGCACACCTATGCAATGACTTGCAATTTCCGTTTAACATGCTTTGGCCAAAGGGACATGAGTAAAGATGAGGTAAACCCAGGTTTGAGAAGTCCCTAATGTTCATTTCCCTAAACAGTCTTGGAAAGAACCTTGACCATCCTAAAGATACAACATAAAATACTCCATATAGGAGTGACACACCTGAAGATAAGCAACACCTACAAAGCATACAACCTTGAGTAAGACATATTACCTCAAGTTTTCTTCTGTGATTTTTCTTTAAAGGCCAAATTTCCCTGACCAATACTTTCTGTACTACCAGGCAAAACCAACCAATAAGAGCTAGCATTAGCAAATCCTTAGATGGGACATTTAACATAAGTTTGCATGATTACATACTAAAAATCATAGTGGTAACAGGCTGAATAAATTAGCAAGAAGAGGATTAGGGATTACTACATTAATAGATACTTTGTTATAACAATTACCCCACCATCCCAAACCACAGCCTCAGGTACCCTCTCATAACTTGGCTCTGGTTTATTCCTCAGTCCAGCGCATCACAATTCCTGGAAATTAGTTTAAATCTTGCAACAACACAAAGTGATTGACAGTGGTATAGGAAAGAGTACCACATGAATCTGGTGCTAAGGGAAGTAGCAACAATTTTTGTAATAGGCAAGGGAAGCTAGCAACATCTTCCCCTTCCTGTGCTTTTCTGCTTCTTCGCTTTAGGGCCTCTCAGAATTGACAAGGTCTGTCCATTTAGGATGGAGATTCCTATTCATAGGGTGCTCTGCTTCAAACATTGCTAGGCTTCATTCCTAAAAATATAGGACAAGCACTCACTACTCCAATATCCCATGTACAACTGTCTCTAGAAACAGGATCATGTACAAATACTTGTGAGATCCACCCAGGAGATTAAAAACTCAAGCCAAACAGATTAAATTATCTCTAGGAGAAACAACACAGAAGCCCCAAATACAACTGCAATGTAAGAGGACTCAAGGCAGGCATACATCTCACAATTTCACTAGAATACTTCCTGTACTCCTCTTACACCTGGGCAAAGCAAATAAAGTCACATGGGTTAATAGAAGAATCCCTTGGTCTTGGAGTACAAATGCACAGCTCTTGTGCTCTCCTCGTCTAGACAATGACCCAGCTTGCTCTCAGACATTTGGAAGCCAGGTTCTTGCATCTGAAGGCCCAGAGGCTAATGGCAGCACAAACTCCTGAACCTCAAGCAAATTATCAACCCCAGACTGGAGAAAATACTGGAGAGGGAAGTAGGCACTTTGGCTCAAGTATAAAGCTCTCCCTCTGAGCTGAGGAGCTCAGGAATGCTGCTTGCAGGCCCAAAATTCATGCCCCACCAAAGAAACAGAAACAGAAAAACAAACAGAAACCAGTGGAGGGGAGACTCCCGCGGCAATCACACATTTCCTACCTGACATCAGTTCCAAAGCCTGAGATTCCTTCAAGTTACAGCTCCCAGGCTCCACTGCACAGAGCTGGGCACCAGACTCCTGGCTCCCACCTGTGGAAGGCCAAACTGTCTTTCAGGGCACTTCCAGCAGCCAGGCAAAGGAAAAGAATCCGGAAGAGGCAGACTTAAAATGCCCATGGTGGGCGGGAAGGGGGGGGGAGACACATGAGCAAGAGCATCTTCTGCCCCACCTCCACCCTCCAAAAAACAAAAACAACCCAGGACTTTCAAAGAAAATATCCTCCATGGAGACTACAATTCCCACAATGCTCGGTGCCACCCTGCTGCAAACCTGGGAACAAGTGTGCTCTTGTGCATTGGGACTTTTCTCTGCCTGCTGTGGGAGTTAAGCTCAGTTTCTTCTTGAAAACCACTGTCTCCTCTTGAAATACATAAGACCAACCAGAAAGTGGATATATATGGGGAGAATTGGATACATTGGATTTTTGATTCTTAGTTCTAATAATGAAATTGAGGTTATGAGACTGCGTTGCTTATTCCTTTCTGTTTATTCAACGCCTGTGTTCTGGTGAATGTAAATTATCTCTGTTTTGTCTTAATTTTTTTTAATATATCCCCTCCTACTTTACAAAGATATTACCGGGCGCCGGTGGCTCAAGCCTGTAATCCTAGCTACTCAGGAGGCTGAGATCTGAGGATCCCTGTTCAAAGCCAGCCCGCCCAGGAGAGACCATGAGACTCCTATCTCCAATAAACCACCAGAAAACCAGAAGTGGTGCTGTAACTACAGTGGTAGAGTGCAGGCCTTGAGCTGAAGAGCTGAGGGAGTAGCGCCCAGGCCCAGACTTCAAGCCCCACAACCGCCAAAAAAAAAAAAAAAAAAAAAAGATATTCACAACCATAAACTTATACCTGTGTCATTTCCCATTGCTGTAATGAAAACACTGGCATACAATAGTGAGATTGTTAGGTAAGTATGCAGCATAATACTTCTGGTGATTTGGATTTCACAAAATCTAACAATTAATTTTCCAGAAACTCCCCAATTCTATCTATTAAATCAAATGAATTTTTGTTTTTTTCTGAATTTTGCATTTCTTTTAAGGATTTTATGTTTTGTTTTGTTGTTGGTACTATGGCTTGAACTCAGAGCTTGGGCACTGTCTGTGAGCATTTGCTGTGCTCTATTTGCATTCCCTTTAATAATTTCTTCAGGTATCTAGTGAAAAGTTTCCTCACAGGGATTCTTATGAACATGGCATATCACCTCCATTTCCCTTCAAAGAGATAGTGGTTTGGGGGGTCAGGGATGAATGCAGGAGGGATAGAAGAGTGAAGTTTAGGCTAGGCTATGTTGATGTGAAGCTTAATCACTTGCAAACCAGTCTGCTTTTGTCTTTTCATTTTGCATGTGAATATCTCTTTAGACTTCTTACCTGTTCTCTGATCCTAACAGTTCCTCTCAGTAGCTTTAGGCTACATATCTAAGGGACCTCGGACTTGTCTTCTCAAACCTTTACCATTAAAATGTGCAATAAATCTTTTGTCTCCTGCCGCAATCCCATCAGAGCACAAGCAAGGCTCTGAGAGCCAATGGGATGATAATTAAGGAGACAGAGTGATGGCTGATGACACAGTTCAGCTATATTTCTCAAATGCTTGAGTAATATTGGTCTAGACCCACTGTGCCCAAAAGTGCAAACAGCACACATCTTTCCTCATTCTATTTCAATACATCTTTTCCACCCAAGCCTCCAGACAGGTAAAGCCCCAGGCCAAAAAGCTAGAACACACACTTCCTCAAACCAATAAAGGGCAAGGACTTGCAGTGCTGAGGGTGGGAGTCAATTGTCCTGAAGCCTTTGCTCACATTTTGTCTGCTCCTGGCAGGCACCCCAGGGTCTACAACAGTCTCCCTCTCTCTTATCAAAGAACCTACCCTTGTCTCTTACATGTTTATTGAGATTTTTTGTAATCCCTTCCATAAAAAATAATTGGGAAAGATTGGATTGGTAACTTTCACTTTTGATTTTAGTTCTCCAGTGTATGGGTTCAACATGTCTCTATTGTGGACCAGAACTATTCCTCATGAAAACGGGAATCAAAGAGCATATTTGAATGTATAGACTTCAACTTAAAAGCACCTCTAACAATATAAAGAAAAAATAATTTCATTCTTTAAAACTAAATTCCTGGGAAGTGGCACTGTGGCTCAAGAGGTCGAGTGCTCACCTTGAGCTGAAGAGCTGAGAGATAAGTGCTCAGGCCCAGAGTTCAAGCCCCACAACCAAAAAAAAAGTCCTCTCTAAAACTAAATTCCTGAGAGACAAAGAGATAAAACTGGGGTGCTTCCAACAGTACCTGTGAAATGTAGTTTTCTTTTCTTTTCTTTTCTTTTTGTTGGTCATGGGGCCTGAACTCTGGGCCTAGGTACTGTTCCTCGGCTCTTCAGCTCAAGGCTAGTGCTCTACCACTTAAGCCACAGTGCCACTTCTGGCTTATTCTGCTTATGTGGTGCTGAAGAATCGAACCCAGGGCCTCATGCATGCAAGGCAAGCACTCTACCACTGAACCATCTTCCCATCCCTGAAATATAGTTTTCATTGTTCAAGCCTACATTTGTGATGGATTTCTTTATTCCTTTATCCTTTTGTTTTGTTTGGTTTTGTTTTTGGTTATGCTACTTGAACTGTGAGCCTAGGAACCATCCCTTAGCCCTTCAGCTCAAGCCAAGTGCTCTACATTGTGAGCTAAAGCACCAATTCTGGTTTTCTAGTTTTTATTGGAGATAAGTGTCTCACAGACATTGCTGCCCAGGCTGACTTTGGACTGCAATCCTCAGGTTTCAGCCTTTTGAATAGATAGGATTAAAGACATGAGGTACCAGCACCCAGCTTGCATTTCTTTTCTTTTATGTCTCAGCCTTGGGACTTGAACTCAGTGCGTGGACACTGTCCCTAAATTTTTGCTCCAAACTAGCACCCTAGTACTGGAGCCACAATTCCACATTCGGCTTTTTCTATGTAT